GGTGTTGCCTCTATCTTAGGCTGGTAATTTATGACTCCAGCTGCTGTCTCCCTCTCCCCAGGTGGACAGCTTGATTCCTCAGCAGTGCATCTAATTAGGAAGAGAAAAACACATTTCTGAGGGAGGCACAGTCTATGAAAGGATGGCACTCATCCCTGATTGGACAACAGTTTCTCAAAGGAATAGATGCGTAGATACAAATTAGGGAGCCTGATAAAAATAAATAAATAAATAAGTAAATAAAATGGAGGAAAAAAACATAAATGTGAGGAAAGTGGTTTTTTGTTTCTAATCTATGATACACACTGAAATTTCTATTTGTCTTAAAATAGCAGCAACTCGGTGCATTTAAGTACGGTCAAGACAGCCTTGTGAAATTCAAACCAAGCATCAGAATGAGGAAGAAAGGTGATCTAAGTGACTTTGAAAGTGGCATGATTGTTGATGCCTGATGGAGTAGTCTGAGTGTTCAAAAAACTGTGGTTTTCTGACATAAACATCTCTAGGGTCTACAGAGAACAATCTGAAAACAAAAATATCCAGTGAGCAGCAGCTCTGTGGACGAAAAGGCTACAGCAGCAGAAGACCACACCAGGTGCCGCTCCTGTGACTACGAACAGGAAACTGCAGCTACAATTCGCATGAGATCAAATTACACAACAGAAGATTGGAAAAACATCAGCTGGTTTGATGAGGATTGATTTCTATTATAACATTTGGATGGCAGGGTCAGAATTTGGCTTTATTAACATGAGAGCATGGACCCATCCTGCCTGCTATTAATGATTCAGGCTGCTGGTGGTGTAACGGTGTGGGGGATGAGTATTGTTACTGACCAGGTCCCTCTTTTCATGATCATAGTGTCTCAATACAGTAGAGCACCTCAGGATGTCGTGAAACCTGAGATCGCCCCAATTAAAGTGGCTCTGAAAGCAAACATTGGGTCCAAACCAGTACCCGTGCATTGTAGTGACCAGTGAGTGTATTTTGAAAATAAATGAGACTGAGTCTTTTATAGTTGTGGATGGAGTTTATATGTAATCTGCTAAGTTGTTTCTGATGTAAGAGCTATAAGTTAAAACAGGTATAATTGCATAATATATATTTAAAAAGGGGCCTAATGTGAACCAACAGAGAAATATAGCCAGAATCTGCAGCTCCTATTGCCTTTTTGCAGCTTTATTGTGAGTTTCATCTCATTTTCAGTAGCCAAGGCCACAATATTTTGGTTCGCTGTCCCTGCTCTCATTGCTTTGTTTTCTCCCACAGCAGGCAGCTGTTTTCAGCAGAGCTCTAAAAAGCCACTATAATCCAGAAGCATAGCCAGATATCACATTAAGAGTGGATATAACAACATCAGATGGGCCTGACTGCAAGGCCCTAAGGCACAGTACTCTTGGCATGTAAAGTAACTTGTTCAATCACTAGGCACCCAAGTGAACAAACAGAAAATAAAGTAATTCCTGATGGAGATATTAGCCTGGCCAGATAGCCACACACCTGCAGAGGCACTGCACTTCCAGGGTTCATATGCAAACATGAAAATAACTTACCCAGAATGACTAAAGTGAAACTATTTCAGGTCAGTTTGAACAGCAGAAAATATTAAGAAATTTCACTTTGTGGGCCAATCTAAGTGAAATTAACATTTTTGCCTAAATAATAAATACCAATAGACTAATTACATTTTAATCTGTACTGCAATGCATTATAAAAATGCAGCAAATCAGGACCAAACATAAGAACATGTATTTTAAGTTTATACATATACAGTTTACAGTGGTTAACTGTTCATGGCAGGGCACTGTCACCCTCAGACCACCAGGAAATGTCCCAGCGCTCCCAGCAGGGTGCCTGCATGTATCAGTGTAACTCTTTTCCTGTCATGTCCATGTCACAGCAGTTTCTCTTCTCCTCCGTGTATGTGTGTGTAAACCCATCTCCTCACACTCATAGTGGAGCCTAGGGCAATCTTTTAGCTGAAATATGAGAACTCCTCTTCCAAACACTTTCTTGTGTATTCGCAGGAACACACCTGCCAAGTGTGAAGCAGCACAAATAAACGATTGCTTAGAAAAGCAAAGAACACTGAGACAGGCAGACACTGAGAGATAATAATAACTTATTACTTTGATGCTTATTATTATGAAATTCAGTATAATAAACTCTGGGCTGCATGACAAATACACACTTGGTTTTAGTTTTTGCATAGATCTCTTAGCCTTGTCAAATCACCCCTTCCTATTATATATTAGTATAAATTTACTAACATCATCTACTCATTATTTTTACATGATGTTATTTAATAAAGTTGCCACAAGCAAAATACACTTGAAATATATTCATTATCTATTATGAATATTTTTTCACTAAAGATGCAGCTAGTATTAGTAACCTAATGCTTAACCTACCTAAAATAGTGCCCCCCAACCCAGTGTCTGTATTTATGTCTGTTCATAATTTCCTATAAAAACAAAATGCTCATGGGATCACAGCACAGTTTTGAATGATACGTGAGTCTAAACTTCACTTTTCTGTTTCTCACATCATTAGTGTGAGAGAACATGAGGCAACATGCGCTGTTTTACCAATTTTTAGGCCTGAACCCCCCCCCCCCCCCCCTTTCTCTGCTGTGAGCTGAGCAGTATACTGGAAATAGACCATTCCTGGGAGACTGCAATATTTTGCTATTGCTATTTGGGATTATAGCACTTTTAACTTCTTTAACTTTAAGTCAGTGAAAATGTTACAATCGCACGTGATCCATTTTCATGAAACCTTGGTGACTAGGTAGTTATAGTACCTACCTGCTCAGCAGGAAGAGCAGATATTTCCCCATTAGAGATGGTGCCAACAAGAACTTTTTCTTTCTTTGCAGCTGCATGCATCACATCTGCCAGCCAGCCAAGTTCAAGCTGACATCCACGTCTGTGCAGACTTGAACTTTGGATATGAAATGTCATAACATCTACATATTAGTCTCTCAAACCCACAACTCTAGTTGCTACTTGGAGCTCTTTAGCTCATCTGTAGTGGCTCCCCTTTGCAAAAAGCTACATTAATATAAAATAATTAATAATAGAAACTTAACCTTAATTGTTAAATCTATACACATAAATGGTTAGTCATGAGTCCCCTTAGCTATGGATTCAAAATCCCTTAAAAACAAGCCATGGAGAAAATTGAAGAATTTAACTGTGCATAGACAGATGTGTTTTCTGCACATTAGCCAAAATAAAACCTTTATTTTTTTCATTACCCTTGTTATATTTGAAGCTTTTTATTTGTTTGATTTATAAGAATGCATGTAGGACTCAAAGAAGCTATAAAGCTGCATGCCACTTCACGATTGCTCAATTTTGTTTAGTAATAATAATAATAAGAAAACCGTTTTAGCTATCGACACTCTCTGATTCTATATATTTAGCAACAGCATGGTGTTAATGGCATTGTAATAAAACTGCAAAGCTGAAGTGCTAAATAATCATTAATACCCCACTGTAGAGTAATGTTACATCTATTAGCAAAGTTGATAGGCTCAGTTATACTTAATATACCTTGTAACCGTAATTAAAATGAAAGAGGATCAAATATACTTTCTCTCAAAGTTGGTAAATTCTTTTGTTACATTTTTTTGACAAAACAAACATTTCACCAACAGCTTAAATAAAAAGTCATACATGTCTCTACTGATAGTAAAGTTTACTAATCCCTGTATTAGACATTAGTGTTAAAATATCTGCATATTTAACATTTATTTAAGAGTTGCTACCAAAAGCATATTTGTGAGATCACAGTGACCTTCTAGTGCTTTCCTTATCAAATTCTAATCAGTTCATCCTTGAGTCCAAATAAGCATGTGCACCAGATGGGATCAAATTCTCTCCATACACTGTCTTCAAATAAATGTTACTTTCACAGCCAAAATCTAATCAGTCCATCCTTGAGGCCAAGTGAATGTTTTGTCACAGTTACATGCTGACATCCAGGAAAACATTAGGCCTCCAGGCATGTCTGCCAATGGTTTTGAGGTATACGAAAACATAACTTTGAAAGATTGAATACTGGACTTAGCTGTCATGAACAAACTGTTTATAAAGTCCTCGCTCAAAACATTAGACTGCATATCAATTTATGTTCACAACTTACTGGGAATAGTTATTGCACTGTGCAAGTTATTCGAGTGAGGCATGAGAACTGTGCTGTCTTCCTTCCAATTCGGTGTTACGATACCTACAGAAATACTCTGACGTCTCTGTAGCGGTTGGCTGTATTAGTGATGAGCAGGGTCAGAAGTATAAAGCACTAGTGGATGATTTTGTGGGGTGTGGTCTAGGAGAAATCATCTGCTTCTGAATGTGAATAAGAACGGAGGGATTGTAATTGACTTCAGAAGAAAGAAGACGGCTGTGTGACTTCTGTCCTTGAAATGGTTGATCTGGGCATCAACACTGACAACAGGCCGAACCAGAAGACTAACACAGAGGCTGTAAAGAAAAAGGAGATGAACAGGCGCTACTTTTTCTGTGTGCAGCAAAATAATGGAGATTTTCTATCACTCATTTGTGGCAAGCACAGTGAACTTTGATGGGGGAGCAGCATCGGCGCTGGAGACACCAACAGAATGAATAAACTGATCAGGAAGGCTGGGTCTGTGACTGGCTGCAAACTGCACACTTTTGAAGTTGTGGTAGAGAGGAGGTCACTGAACAAACTGTTATCAATCATGTATAATCCTGACCACCTCTCTGCACCGCTTAGACAGGCAGCAGAGCAGTTACTCAAATAATCTCTCATTTGAAATCTCTTATTTGGATCCACTGCCACAAGGAGAGATACAAGGCATCTTTCACACTGCATGCTCATCACCATCTTTAATCTGTCTGGAAGAAAGTCATCTGCCAGATGTTATTATTGTTATTATTTCATCTAGAAAAAAAATCACAAATATAAATCAAATAATAAAGAATTTCTCATTCATTCATTAAAAATCCAACTGGTATTCTGCCAAAGTTGTCAATATTTTATTCATCTTAAGGCAATCCATTACAAAGCATTTCACAAACCACAGTATGACGACAATATCATGTCCAACACCTGGTTTGGAAATATTCAGCATGCAAGTCAAAGACCAAGAGAGGTATGTAAACAACCTGGGATAAAACAGGAGTAGTGGCAAGAAGAACCCATACAGTATGTGTCTCATAGGAACAGAATGAAAGAAACAATAGATGCAACATGCTGGATGGGGCCGTTTATCTCCAAATACATCCTAAGTAACGATAATGACGCACTGGCAGATGCACTAATCAGGTGAAATGATGGCAAACTACCAAACTTCCTGCCACTTTGGCACAAACATGCACATTTTCTAAAGAGGCCAAGTTCAACTACTGAACACACGTTGGCACTGAATGTTCTTTATGCGGGGCCTATGTACATAATTAGAGTTCAGCCTCAAACAGAATTTGAAAGGAAGTGGAAAAAAGAAACAAAGCCATTTCCACCAAGAGAAACGGAATAATTCTGTTGCTGCAAAAGACATCATTTATACTGAGCAATAAAATTCAGAGGTGTCAGAGGTGTTATTGATTATTTAGCTTTTTTTCCTATATTACTAAGGATTGAAGTTTCTGATTTCACTGGGGGAATTTGTTATTATCATATCAGAAAAACAGCAGTGCTACTTTTTAAAAATTATTATTTAAAACTCCACAGACAAAGTTTGGAAATTTGCATGCGTTTCAGGTTTAACGAGCACAGTATATGTATGTATTATGTTTGCACGTATCCTATTCCCTCCTTAATGAGTGGGACAATCTGAAAGAAACTTTGGAAGAACATCGTCATACATAAAGCATTTCTAATGTTTTTAAAGATTTATTACAAATCCCAATTCTTTGGATTTTTACATTATGCTTTTTTCATTGTCCTGCAAATGCGATGGTTGTTCTCGTTTAGCGTTTGTTTTGTGTGTCACATACAATGTTTTTGAGTCATCATTAAATACTGAATGAAGCATTTCAAAAAGCAGTGCAGGCCTGCATATATTTATATTACTTATATTTATAAGTTATTGAGTTCATACTTCATCTTATGATAAATGTGTTCAGTACAAATTGTTTCCCTTAGATTGACTGAAAAATACAGTACAGTATGTAGCATTTTAAAACAAAGAATCCGTATTCATTTTGGGGGGTTGTTTTCCCATATTTTCAACCATACACTGAATTTTATCATTTGACATTTATAGAAATGCCCATAAACTTCTGTAAAAGAAAAAAAAAAGACTTATCAGGACATTTTCTGTTTTTTATAAAAAAAAAATTATCATCGTGTTAAATAGCTTTCTGTAGAGGCATACTGGTATTTTTGACCATTATGTAACTCAGCCTAATTTGAAATGTGATGAACCAAGAAATCGGTCAGCAGATTAAACCCTGCTTTGTCTTCTGAGAGGGAAATGTCATCACTAATGAAAAAGTTTAAAGGAAAGAAACCCAAATATGGGGCTGGACTCATGACAGAAGGAGTTCAGCACCTCAGGACTGACTTTCTGCAGTATCATCAGACTCTTTCTGCTCTCTGAGAGCAACACAGCCATGGGAGTCAAAGAACAACAAACAAAAACTCTAAAGCAACATGAATTATGCAAACACATTTAACTCCGAACACAAAAGAAAACACAACCGAGATTCACATTCACAGAGAACAACACAAAAAAAATCTTTTTAAACGTTAGTTCTCCAGTTTCATTGAGTGAAATCATTTTGAAACACTGTGCTAACAAAACAGAAAGGAATTTCTTAATAAAACCCATGAATGTTTACTTTTTCCTTGAGGCCATGTAAATGCCACAGCTGAATTGTAAACAAGTCTTGACTTTGAATATTGTACAACAAGGCTCGATGACACTGGTAGCATTTATTACTTCAAAGATTCTTAGTGAAGAGCTGTAAGTATAAAAAAGTGCAGAGCAGTGGCGGAGACAGTGTGTACCAGCTCCTTTGGCTGAAATAGTCCTAATCTCACAAGTGTTTTATCATCTCCAACATTTTCTGTGTGTACATCTTAAAACATGCTGGCAGAATCACACCTGGGTAACTAAATTTGGATATGTTTCCATATAAATAGGCACATCTGGATCAAGATATTGAGTGACTATGTGAAAATGGCCATTATATATGGATAACTTGATGTACACAACTGGGCCACAACTGTCTTTTTTGTTTTTTTTACACAATTTATACACAGTCGCCATAAAGATATATATATATATATCTATATATCTATATAGATATATAGATATAGATATATAGATATATTAACAAGCTTAAACTAAATCTTAAAACAGAATTGTGCAATTGTGTTTTTAAGCATTTAAATAGCATCCCGATGAGTTATAAAAATGGGCCATTGTGCATTAGTATAAAACAAAATGATCTGAGAACAGTCGAGAGACAGAAGACAGCAGACAGGATGGAATTAAAAAAAAAAAGGTCTGTTTTTGTTTTGCGCAGTCACTTAAAAAAAACACTCAGTGCCTAAATATATTTTTTACTCTGTTGCAAGATTTATGATTGTTCAATCTTCATTCTGGGGAAAATCAAACAAATCAAATTTAATGAGGAGAAAAATGGCTGTTAGTTGACATCAGTCTTTCAAAAGTATATCGTATTTGAAGTCTCCTTTAAAAATACTGAACTAAATCTCAGATATTAAATTGTCACCACAACAAACATAATGGAAAGAAGCAGCAAGATGGAAAATGATGGCAGCATGAGAATAGTTTTATCTACGTTTCCTTGCATACTACATGGAAAAGTGAGTATGTGCTTGTTTTTATGATAGATACAAGTTCATTTAAATATCAGTATAATAGTAGTGATAATCCTTTTTAAAATAAAAAAGACAGTGTCAAAAAAAATTCAGGGCCCTTTCCATTATTGTCATTGTGGCTAGTCCTTTCAAAATAAGAGGTTTTTTTTAGCTTATCACCACTATTGCCTTTGTGCTTTTTATTTGGACAATATTTAGTGCATTCTGTAAATATAAATATAAGAAAGATGTATAAGACATGGTGCTAAAATATCTATATAGCAACAGCTCGCAGGAGGTGCTCTACTTTATAGCTTGCAATTAAAGATTATTCATAGGTGAACATGATTAATAAACTGCTGAATGGGTTTTGTCACATGCTCTTATATTACAGTCCTTATCAAAGTAGAAATGGGGGTCGTTTTTATTATACTGGTCACAAAATATAAGGTGGAAAACTTCTGGGGAAATATGACTTTAATACCCCACCCTTTAAAACCCCCTAAAATGAACAGATCATTCCTGCAATAAATAAATAAATTATTATACACATGATTTCCTAGTTTACACACATTGATTCCAAAAGGTATCACAAGCATGATACACACTGGCACATCCTAATATATTTATGCCTTCAAACAGGCCCTCTTTATGGGCTCACTTGCTATCCATTACATCACCATTTTGTCAGGTTAGACAGTGAACAACTGAAAGCTCCTTTCATACCGGTCTCTCAGCGCTCCGGTCCTCAAGCACTCAGAGAGTAAGCTCCCTCATCATAGCAGGTTCCCCTCTGCAGTCTCACTGCTCCAAACCACAATGGAGTCTCATCATCTTTGTGTTACGCTGGATTAATATTTACGGAAGGGCCTCAAAAGCATTTTTGCTTCAAAGAAGTGTTGGTGGAGACGGGTTCCCATCAATCTCAACCTTGCTCTGCCCGACGCAGAGCTTTGTGTGTGTGGGCGGGGAGGGGCTCACACGGGGTTGGTCGGCGGCTCATCACTGGGCGAATACACTGGCACAGGGTTGGGTTTAATGGCTCTGCTCTTCATGTAGGAGATCAGTTGGTCAGGGATCTCAGCCAGTACGTCTTTAGCCAGTCGAGCCATGCTCAGCACATGGTTACCTGTGCGGTCCATGTAGTCTCTGAATGGTACAAACTGTTGTGACATGAGAAAGAAACACATTACTTTTAAAAATCCCTGAATCAAACTGGCAATGTTTTCCTGGTTTCCTGGCTGGTTCACTGAAATGATGACTCAAAGGAACACCAAGGTTTGAAAATTCTTTGTAATGTCCAGAAGGGGGCGACTCCTCTGATTACAGAGAGAATTTTATAAGCCATGTAGGTCTATAAGAAAATTAATTTAGTTTTGGTTAATTTATAAATTCTGCAAACAATTTTGTGCTAAGTTTATGGTCCTGTTATTGCAAGACTCCACAGTGGTAGATTGATGTGCATACAGTCATGTGGAAAACAATCAAGTTTTCTCACAACTATAAGATGTGCTGTGAAAGACACCCTTACTGCTTCCATGGGAGTTAAGACTAAGCTTAAGGAGCACCGAGGTGCTGCTAATCAAATGCACTTAAAATGATCCTCAGCCAGTGTGAGCACCTCTATTAAAGAAGACGTTTTGGCAAGTTGCTGGTTTAAAGCATTCACATGTGTTTTAACACATTTCCAGCAAATTCACCTCAAGCTCAGACTGTGCAATACTCGGACAAATTGCAAACCCCCCCAAGAACTATGATTCAGACTCTACAGACTTCAGTTAGCATATTAAACATTAATGTTCATGACAGTACAATATGAAAAGACTGAATAAGTATGGCTTGTTTGGAAGGGTTTCCAGGAGAAAGTGTTGCATCTGAAAAAATCACAAAAGTGCTGTAACAATGAGAGATGAGACCATAATGCACAACACCACATCTGGACAAAATCAATCACAGCATTTCAGCACAAAACCTCATACCAGCTGTCGAGCACTGTGGTAATTTAGGCTTGTTTTGCAGTCACAGGACCTGGGCACCTTTTGGTCAATGAGTGAACCGTGAACTCCTACCAAAATATTCAAATGTAGGGTATCTGTCCAAAGTATGAAACCTGGCTAAAACTAGGTGATGCAACAGGACAACGATCCCAATCACAGTAGCAAATATAAACAGAATAGCCAAAAAAGAAAAGAATCCAGATGTAGCAATGACCCAGTCAAAGTCCAGAACTCAGCCTGACTGAAATGCTGCAGCGGTACCTGCATCTGTGCATAAACAAATGCTGACTGTATGTATGAATAAAGCAGCTGGAAGATAAAGAGATCACCGATATGATTGAAATTGAAAAATGTATGCTATACTTTAAGAGATATTTTGCACTGGAATAAAAAACAGAACATAAGGTCGCCGTTGCCTAATGTTTTTATGCCTATAGAAAATGAGCTGTTCCTTCCCGTGACGAGCCGAGACGTCTCACCTGTACAATGTCTCTCTCTGCCACCTTCCCCCGTGAGGAGATTCTGACATCATCACCATCCAGCTCAACCATTGCTACAGAGAACAATAATGGATTTTTAAACAAATCTCTAGTATACCTCAGCATCAAAATTATGTATACACTCTTTTTTAGTTCATCATGAAACTTTCCAGAGCAAATATGTCTTCATACTGTGAAGTCATTTACAATATTTATTATTCTTTGCAGAAAGTCTGAGCTGGTTTAATAAAACAAACCATCCCTAATCCGAAGAGGCAACAAAGTGCTTTCCACATATTTTGTGTGTAGTTAGTATTCTCACCATCAAACTCAGCCTGGCCAACTCCAACAATGATGATAGACATGGGGAGTTTGGCTGCCTGTCATAAACAAGAAGAAGAGACAGTCAGTTGTCAGTCACATGCCAGGAATACAATATTTTCTTTCAAAAAAACAAAAAAGAACCAAAGCCATCAAAGTTTTTCGCAGAGCATGAAAGGGTTACATTTCCAATTACGTTTATTTATCCACCAACACACATCTCATTAAAACAGTCAGTATGAACCGACATGCACAATTCCCCAGAGAAGACATAAATGATAATGGGCAAGATAAAATAAGACAAATATAAATTAGAAATAGCATAAGAACGTTGTCTTGACTATGTTACACATCACATTGTGTTGTATAGTTTTGTTCCCAAAGGAGCCAAGAGAAAACGCAAAATGCATTATTCAAACCAGGGCCTTCAAGGTGGATACAACTGTCAGCACGCACAGAATTTGTTAGCTAACCAATATACACACATTCACATCTCATAGTAGTTAAAGAACATAAGGTTATGCAATGCTCTTGTAGTTTGCAGAAATCCTGCAAACACCACTCAGTATAAAACCCTTTATTCAAGTTTGCTTATAGAAATGATTCAAATGCTTTTAACATCAGAACAGAAAAGGGCCGCATGTTGTGTCTATTTAAACGACAGTCAAAACAAATCATAAATCTACAAGATAAAAGGGGGCATCTTCTCAACGGTTTGTGGTGTAGAGGTTACTGCACTGCATAAATTCAGACCATGGCATTGGTGTGCAGAACGTGAAAGCCCTGGCACGAATGAATGAATGATATATGCTTTCACAGGGGCAAAAGTAGGTCAGCTTTCCTGGAAAAACCTCTCAAGGGGAGAGGCCTGTCACAGATAGGAGTAAATAGACTGAGGAGGACCTCCCCTTTCATGGTCTCTATCGTTTTTCTCTCTCAGTCTCTATTCCCGATTTATTTCTTTTCTCCACTAGTGTTATTCCTCATGACCTCTTGCTCTCGCACAAAATAGCCTATATATTCTATTTTCCCAGTTTCCAGCAGACCAAAACCCTCAGGTATATACTTGCCAGAGCTGATACTGTTGCTTGAGCTGCATTATTCAGTTTACACCATTTGTTACTTTGCGTGTACTGTAAAGTGTCACTCCTCCAGTTTTTCTGATGCTTCACTTTCACTGCAGAGAACCACAACAAATCTAAAGGGACTCAGTAGATATCCGCTGTGATATCAGCAGTTTCATTTAATATTAAAGGACTACAGAAATATTTTGGGACAGGAAGAATGGCACCACCATGTTTCAATCATGCCCATGAATTTAATTCTTCACAAAACTTTTACCACAAAATCTAAATATGTACATTGCCTCTGCAGTAGCTTTCATTTGATTCTGTACCAACACTGTTACGTATTCTGTATCAGGTTGCTCCATCTCACCGAAGCTCGAAGATGAAGACCCAAATTAAGCTCCCTAACAGGAAAATATCCACAGTTTTATGAGGTTCCTGAGTCAGTCTCACCCAAACAGCAAAGTGACAACTGCAGATATAATCTAAATTTCGCATACAAATTAATTTATGTCTGTTCCTCTCGGGCTAAAAGCAGGCTCTGCTTTACAATTTTATTAAAATGAAATTTTCAGTTTCAAGGAAAAACATCAAAGGAAAAGAGTTGCAGACTGTATTTACCTCTGAGGCTGTTCTGTCAGATAAGTGGATATCAATCCCTGAAGGCTAAGCTGTTTAAAATACAGTACCATACAGTGTGGCCATTAGCAGTAAAATTACCAGTCAATATTTGCTCTGTACAGTATTTTAAATTAGCTCTCATGACAGAGCACAGCCTGGAAGAAAGAAAAAAATATGCAGAGCTGAGTGTTGGACACAGTTACTTGTTTATGATTCATCGTTCCAGGGCAAAGGCTGAATACCTAATGAAGCTCTTCCATCCAAAGAGAGCGAAGTCAGGTCCAGTGGCTGCAGGATGTGGCAGGTTGAGGTTGAGCAGAGCGCAGAGCAGCAGACAAGATCTTAAAAGGAAGGTGTGGCTGTTCGAATGGTTTGATTAACAGTCGCAAATTCCCTTTAAACCCAGTCTGCTGGGGGTCTGAACACTGTGTTCCTGTAAGGCTCTACCCGCTCGACGATGACTGATCGTCAGCCTTACCTCTGCGGGCAGATTCCAGCCAAAGGTGAGCTGCAGTGTTGTCAAGACACATGAAATATGCAGCAGGCAGTATGGGACAAAACAAACACCATGAAACTTTAAAAAAATTGGCAACACTGTTGCCTCAGATCTCAGATCAGACAATGCATCTGTAGCACAGAGGTTGAATCTCAGCTGAGCCTCTAAGCCTCTTGAGGGTCTCAGAAAGAAATAAAAATATTGGACAAACTGAGCCTCTAAGAAGTGGGGTAGAAAACATCCCATAAATCCTCAAATCCAGTGCTACTGGCTTATAAACCCTCAAAGTAACAGAAAGCCTGAGAACAGTGCCACAGTAAGCTTAAAGCACCTGCAAAACCAATGTCCCGCAGAGTGGAGGAGAATGGAGAGAGAGAGGTTAATATCCTCAGGCTAGTGTTAAATCAGCACTTACATTCACTATGGCCTCCTTGGTCTGAGCCATGTCCGAAATCACTCCATCAGTGATGATGAGCAGGACAAAGTACTGAGATCCGTCCTGCACTGCTGCTGCATACCTGGGTGCAAGAAATGGTAAGTGGTAAATGGCCTGTATTTGTATAGCGCTTTAGTAGTCCCTAAGGACCCCAAAGCGCTTTACACAACCAGTCATCCACCCATTCACACACTGGTGATGACAAGTGTGTGAATGTGTTGTAGCCACAGCCACCCTGGGGCACCAGTAGGCAACGGGTGAAGTGTCTTGTCCCAAGGACACAACGACCGAGACTGTCCAAGCCGGGGCTCGAACCGGCAACCTTCCGATTACAAGGCGAACTCCCAACTCTTGAGCCACGATCGTGAAACTGACTGTGACAGAATGATTTAAGCACAACAGCTCATGTTAGAAAAAAAAAAAGTTATGAAAAGCGCGCATGCAGGAGCAACCAGAGAGAAACTCTTAGAGGAGCAGAAAACAACTGTGTGAGAGATAAAAAATACATTAAAAAATATATTCCTCAGAAACAAACTCTCTCCGCACAGTGTGTGACACAAGAGCTTAATATAGACACGTAAAGAAGAAAAATATGTTGTATAGCTCTTCACATCTCAGAGGTCTATCTAGACACTCTTACGAAACCCATCAGAGACACCACAGTGAGTGTGGCCTAGATTCAATCGCCCATCGCTGGCTGCTCTATGAATAATTTGTTAAACTGTTTATGCAAGTGCAGCAGTCTTATTCTTCTGGAACATTATTGATTGCCTTGCATTCATCTTACTAGACTTGATGAGCAAAAAAAGAGGGAGAAATGTGGCAGATCATTGCAAGAGCCAAGGACAGGTCAGAGGTGAAGCTTCACTCTTTGCATCCTGCTTGGTCAAATTGACTGTGAGGCACCGACAGTTTAATCAAAGAGCGTGCCCTGTCTGTGACAACAGCAAAAGCGATGGCTGCTGTTTAGGGGATTAAAGTGGCATTTGTCTTCCTTAGCTGACTTACAACAATGTAGGCCACACTCACTGGAGACTGTTCAGCGTATTAGCAGAGTACTAACAGCAGAGTCAAACTCAATTTGTAGATTCGTACACAGATGAGATCCTTAAACTGGCTAAAACATTAACAACTCAACATCGTACATTTACTATACATTATGCATCATGCATGAACATCTTTCCCCCTTTTATCAACATTTCCTGACTTCAATAATTTATCAGCTTTCTGCTTGTGGTGGATGGAAAAGTTGAACATGCACATTAAACACAACTACTCAAATGAACTGCATTGTTAAGATCATTTCCTGGTTATGCAAATAGTTATCTTTTCATCAGTTTTAAATTGGACATCCTTCTGAGACTTTTATTTATTCTTTTTTTTTTATTCATTGACATTATGCATAAAGGTCTGCAGGGGAATGTTTTCTTTGGTGCGTTTTAAATTAAATTAATTTAAGCTGCAGTTTGTGCTTTCAGTTATCTCAACACCCTAATCTTTAGCTTCTGCCAGTTGTTAGTGAGGCATATAACAGGATTTTAAGCTCTAAGACTGGATGATTCCAGGCTTGAAATAGCTCCTCCCACTCTACAACATCACTGGGGAAAAGGATTCTTCACAGTTTATAACTGTTATTATACAAATCAGTAAGAGATAGAGAAAAGCAAATATTATCTACATGAAAACCTGCAAAACTAATACTGAAACAAAAAGTGACATAAAAGCCCTTCAGATGAAAACAAGTTACACATTTTCACTACTCAGACTACATTTCTCTGATCACATTTGTATTTTGATTTATCTTTTTGATTAAATACAGATGATCTACTTACTAGCAGATAGGAAAAAGCTCTATTTTAGCACCATAATAGTTTGTAATTACGTAAGGATGGATATGACATCCTTTAACCTTCTGTCAGCTGTAGGGGGTGGGCAGGGCATATATATATATATCTATATATATAGATATATATGTTACATTTTGTTAGTTTAAATTTTGCGCGTCGTTTTATTGAATAAATCTTTTTGCATAAGCTCTATTATTCTACTACAAGATTAATCTTTATGGGGAAAATATTAACAAATACACTTGAAACACAGGTCACAGGGACACGTTATATACATGGGACTTAATATAGTAATATCACAACTGTTTTTAGCCGCAAACAGCACATTATGTCTTCTGTGTGTTTAATGTACTGCTGTCGGTTTGTAGGCACAGCTTTTTAATTCACTTTGTGCACTTACTCTATTTGCAGTGACAAGGAGTTTGTAATGGTGAATTAATGCCATGCCTCATTTACAGTAAAACTCATTAAGTGACTAGCGTGGCTCATCGATACATGTCACGAAAGGCTGCATGACCATTTACAAGTTCCCTCCCAGAGACGCCGCCTTACCTCCCCACGTTCATCACGTTATATGTCTGCAAAATAAACGTCTGGCACCACAAATCCCTGATTACCATTTCTATTTGTCTTAGCCTGGCAGCTGATTGTTTATTTTCCCTTCATTATTTCTACTCAATTCACAGAGAAACCATCACTCACTGTCCTAATGCCTCTGATGGCATGGCTGCCTGCTGAAGATTATTTACAGACTGACTTTCAAAGAAAGGGCAACTGCACTCTGTCATATATCCACTGGGACAGATGTTTGCGTTGGTACCTTGCCACATGATTAACAACAGGAGCAAAGTTGGTGGGCCCATACAGCTGAACTGTCTTAAGGCTTTGATGGTACGCTTCAAGAATCCCCTCCATACCATTACAGTACGGGTTGTCGACGTTGCCATTCTGAGGAAAAACAACAAGACATAAATGGTACAAAAACTACAACAATGGCAGAGTCAAACAATCAACAAAAATGTATTTAACCTGTTAAAATTAATCTCATGTTAAAGTGTTAAACTGTTAAAGTGATTAAAGTGATTTATTAGATTTTCAGATGAATACAAGTGGATGTGCTAAATACTCCAGTATGTTTGCTAGCTGGAAGGTCACTATGCTTATAAGCAGCAGCATGTTGGACCAAACCAGACTGGAAAGACTAGTGATAACCTGTTTTAAAGCTCTGTATTTGTATTAAGTTTAGCAGCAACCACATAGCGACACCACTTTCTACCCTCCCTGCTACAGAGATTTACTAACATAAAGGTAACACCACAGAAAATGACATAAAATTATTTATATAATATTATTTTTTTATTTTTTTATTTTTTTGTTTCACACATGGTACAGCAGTAATGCATTCCCATACACAACCTTCCTTTCAATTAAAGTAACACTGTTTCCATGCATGAAAAGGAGCAGGAAGAAGAATAAATTCATAAATTCATAAATATATCAAGACAGACTATAAATAATTTTTAAAAAACACGACTTGCTTAAAAAAAACCTCTAGGAAACATCCAGCAAGAGCTGCTAGTGTTTTAATAAGCTGAGTGTGTGATGATGGTGAAACTGAAGAAGAGGGCTTAAGCCACCAATCATCAGAGTGATGGTACTTAAATTACTTTGATTTAGACACCAGGGTTACTCGAGTAGAACAATTCACTAGACCATTACCTGCACATCTGTGAAATCAAACATTGTGCAATCTTTATGCTGTACAGTAAAGTTCATGTGAAGGGGACTAGCAGGTTAAGGATCATTTCAGGTCCCATCGGTCAGCGGTGCATGTATGAAAACCATTCATGACTAAAACAATACAACATAACTTTTAACTGTGAATGGTAGTGGTTAAAATGTCTTTTTCTGTGTGGGCAGGATGGCCAGATTTCCTCAATCAAACAAAAGTAGTTTAAAAAATTAGCTAACGCATTAAAGAATCAAATATTCATACAGAGCTTCATTTAAAGTAGTGTTTTGTGCCAATCATAGCCACAAACTGAACCATATCCACCGCGTGCCCAGCTAAGAGACAAAATTATTTATTTAGGACTACATTTATTTAATTTTTTAAAAGCAGTGCTCTCAGTCAATTTTACTCAACTACAAATCAAAATATTTAGCAAAGAAAAAGCTTAAGGAAGTTTGTGTGTTACAAATTTAACAAATGCAACAGAAAATTTAATTAAACAACATTTAGGCTTTTTAAAAATATTAAAATATAACCAGCGGTCTAACAGCTATTCCACTTTTTGCAATCAATTTTTAATGAAGAAGAAAACAGACTCCCCTGCACTGTCTGTAAAGCTCACCACTGAGACAGGTTCACAAATTATCAGCGGGATTTAAGCCATGTGAGGAAGAAAAGGTTAGGTCATTATTCAGTCATTCTTGAGCTCTTAAGCTGCTCTGATGCTTGAGTATTGTCCTACATAAAATTCATCGCCCTCTTGAATGCTGCAGTGTTGTGTGGTATCTTCCAATAGCTGGCAGAAGGTCTGGGAGTTGCATAAAAGCTCCAACTTGCTCATCCTTAATGAGCACAGTCCATACCAGAACCTTCACCACTGTGCTGGCGCCAGTGGTGAAGTGGTGTCTGATGTCTATAAGTGATCCAGCTGCACACATCCATCTAGAGGCACTCTCATTTCACCAGTTCTAAAACCTTTAAAAAACTCTGTCTTCATACATTTCCTGGACTAATCTCAAATATGAAATTTGTGAATGTTATTTTAGTGGTGGGCATGTTTTCTGTCTATGCACTTGGTAGTTTGTACCTCAGGACAACATGTTGACACTGAAGCATCACAGGTTTCTGCTAGTTTCATGTCTTTTACGATCAGTCTTGCAACCCTCTTTACTGTAAGCCAATAGCTCTTTAGATTTGCATGTTCTGGAGTTTGGAAATGTAGAAATAACAACAAGATCAAAAGACTCACTTGCTTTATAACTGTGCATGGAGAGTCGAGGAACTTCAGGTTGTAATTTGGTCAAAGCTAATCAGTATTGTAAATAATATAACAATAGTGATGCAGTAACTGTATGTGCCACGGGTACTTCTAAAATACTGGTGTGGAGTTGAGGGCTGAATGGCGTTTTGAAAACACTGTTTTAGCCGACAGAGATGTTCTTGTCAAACTTAGCTTCAAAGGTTAGCGTCCTTGCCCATTAAGGCACAGTCCAAAGCAAACATACACAGTATAAGAAACATTTCACTCAAGACTTAACTTTACTTTTAAACCCACTTACATGAGTATGGCAAGAAAAAAAGAGAGACTTCAATTATATGCCGAGATGAATCTTAATTCACAAGTTTTAATGGAAACATGGAGTGATGCAGACATTACCCTGTAGACACAGTCCTCATTAGGCTGTACTATGCAGCAGCCAGAGCACATTACTGAGTGAAGCTAAATTGATTTAAGAAGCCGTCAGCCTTACAGAACCTAATTTGCACTATAAAAGGTAAATGGAATTCAGCCTGAGCTCCGCATGTCAGAGATGTAGCTGCTTTTATCTCAAAATGCACACATCTACACTGCACATTCAACATGCTTACCCACACGTAGAAAATAAACACACAAATGAGCACTCCCTGGGATCACCTCCAGTGGGAGGGCCAAAATCATCTTCCCACTGATTCAGATTAAGTCAATGAACCAGATGCCGAAATACAACGTCGGTGTCTAAAATAATCACATAGTTTACTCACCAGTGGAAACTCGTGGGAAACCCTCCAATCAGGGGGCAGCTTAGCACCGAATCCTAGGGCAGGGAACATCTTATCACTGTCATAGTCCTGGATGATCTCTCCAACTGCCTTCAGGGCCATGGCATAGGCATTCATCTGGTATGGGTTCATGTAGTGTAGTGAAGTGGACTGTGATGGATTTCCTTTTAAGAAGAGAGAAGTCAGAGTCACTGATGCAGACCATCAGACTGAGAGGAAACTGACAGCCGAGGCAGGGGAAACAAGAGCAAACTAAAGCTAAACTGAAGATTTGGGTTTGAGGAAATGACTGCCTTATTGAAAATAACTGTAAAACTTGATGTCTATTTATTTTGCACTATAAGGCTTCCCTCCAGATAATAAGAGCCCTTATTATCTCACAGAATTAATATGTTTGCTGATTTAGTAGTTGGATAATATTATTAAACAGATTAATGATATCACTGAATATATTTATCTCTTATTTTTATTACAACTTATCCCAGATGGATCTAATGAGTGTTCGTCAGAAACACAATAAATACTTGTGTTTGATTACACTAAAAAAGACGCTTCAGCTGAGAGGATTTGACATCTGTGCTTGACTGGTCATCTACTTTTATATTTTAAAGCTTCAATGCCATTAAACATTATGCAGAGACAGATAACTAATTAAAATAAACACTGGTATAAAGTGTCTTCTGTGTGCTTTGGTGTTAGTTCTACTGGAGGGATGAAAAATTGCTCTTCCAAAAGATATTCCCTTGGTTTTTTGTTAGTGATGGTGGAGCAGATGGTGCCGTGAAGCACGTTGGTTTAAAATCTACCCTAGGTATTTAGTTATGCTGACATCTGGTGACAGTGAAGGCCATAAGATGTGTGAGGCACTATGGGAAAAGCCAGCCCAAGAAACTAAGAATCCCAGCTGTGCACGCAAGTGGCCAAGCAATCAGGAACAGACAGACTTTCCAAAATTTCAACTGTTTGTTATTTTAACTTCACTCTCTGCAAATATCTCTCAAAACTATGTGTGGAAAATGTTGTTTATTGAGCAGTTACTTTCGCATAAACTGCTATTTAACCAACACGCTGTGTTGCCTCAAATCCACATCCTGGAAACCTCTTGCTTGGGAGGGGAAAACCCTGACTCAACACACCTGGGAGTGCAACCTGGCCAGTCAGCCAGTGAAATTTACCCTCTTAGTGATGTTGGCAATTGCCCCCTAAGCCTGTGGCAATAATGCTCTGAGGATTGTGAGTGATCTAAGGTTTCTTGCAAACCTAGTGGCGTTTTTAACAGAAGTTTAATCACTTATGAACGTGGTACAACTTATTGTTGGGATTTTCTCTCTATTATTGCAGGGCCTTTGACCTAGAATATAAAAGGACTTCGAGGCAATTGTTGATGTGAATTGGCGGCATATAAATAACATTCAAGTGAATTGAGTTGAACTAATTTATAACACAGACAGGTTGCTCTCAAAATGCAGTCAGTCTGCACCACAAGACATCTATGACACATCAGGAACTCAACTGAGCTGGTTGTATTCTGGTTGTATTCCTAAATAAGAGCAAATTGCAGAGCGTCTATGTCATTTTGCAGTTAAATCAACATCCTGAAGTAATTTTGTCACTATTTGTGGTGAAATTTCTGAATTTCTGTATCAAATCTGTGGCGTTCGGAGATTCTGACTGAATGTTAGCAGTAAATGTGAATTTCTGGGTATGTAAACGGCAACAGATGATGACACATTTGCAACCTTTCTGGATTCATTACAGTTAATCACATTATTATCATAAACATTGCATGTAATTACAACTTGAACCCCTTCAGTTTCATACTGATATCAACTGAATCCAGCTTATTGCCACTTTATCGCTGTCTTGATGCACCAGTCACTTTAAAAAGGGCAACTGACTGCAAGCAGCTGCAAACCCAGTCGCTGCATTTGAAGTAATCGTCACACAGGCAACAAGATCACAAGTTCATTGTACACGAGCGCACAAATTTTATTCATACCACGGTCTCCGGCCACTGAAGATTTTCGATTTTGTGCATTTTTATATTTGTACATGTTTGGGTATATATACTATAGCTACCATCTTTTTTAATTATCACTAATATGATTTAAAGTTTTCGTTTTATATATTGCAGGCTGGCAGGAGCGCTTAATAGTGTCTGACATGTGAACACCTTGAAAAAAAAGGGAGATCACAGGCAGAGAGGAAACTCCAGCCCCTCTTTGAATAATAGCAAATCTTCTAGTTATACATGAGATGACAAATGGAGGCAGAGCAGGGCGATGGTTGTTGTTGAAACACTCACCATTTGATGCTGTGAAATCAATGGCCACTGTGAAGTGAATCTGAGTCCTGAAACAGATGAATAGGGGAAAGGATGCTATTAACAAAAGCGAGGCAGGAAAACTCGGTGCTGCAGTTTAATGAAGCTCTCCCAGGTTTCAGCATCCTCTGTGGTCTTATTTGAGAAGAGGTGCGACAAAACTGAACCACAAACAGTGTTGACAATATATCTTTTGGAGTCAGGCTTTAATAGTTTAATTTTTAAAACAGCGAAGGAGATACATACATAAATTATTTATTGCTATACTGCATCCAGAGGACTGTTCAAGCCTTTTAATGATTACATTACTTAAAGATTTAACAGCACAACTACAAGACCATAAAAAGCAGAAAACCTGATAAGAGTACAGCCATTTCCCCAGTGATTTGTACAAACACATAATGAGTCGCTGCAGCTGGCTTAATGAAACATCCGGAAAGATATGGGGATGAACAAAGCATCTGAATAAAGTAACTCAGTTTCATTCACTGCGCCCAGGCTGAAAAAGCAACCTACAGCCAAAAAAAGAAGTCAAAAACTACTGGATATTTTTTATTCATGAGCCCATAATGATAGCCAAAACCTTGAAAAGAAACTAAACATGGCCTAACTAGTCTCTGCTGGATCTGTTTATTTCCCGAGGGAGAGAGACGAAGGGAGCGAAAGGAAGAAGGGCGTAGATCTTTCATTGCGATTAACACTGATTGCCTTTTCTTAGCTTCACCTCCATTCAGAAATTCCCACAAGCGCAGTATTGTAGATAATGGCACTGTCCTCCTGGGGAGGCTCTGACCTCAGCTCATTAATCAGCATTGAGCCGAGCATTCAGCTGACAAAGGGGAATTGTTGCGGTGGCATGTTGCCTCGATTTGAAAGTCTGATTTCTGTGGTTAGTTTGAATGTTTGGCTAGAAAAGCTAGATGGTGGGTTAGCATTAATACTACAGGACAGTAGACTCTGGGCATGTTATTCAAATTGTCTGTTGGATCATTATGAACAGTTTCATACTTAAACATTAATTGCTGAACTCTGACCTAAAATAACCCACAACATGGTTCAAATTCTGAAGTGTTTTTTTGCATCACATAGCATTACCTTGCATCATATTTGTAAATGAATAGTTCAGTTTTGTGCTCTCTAAATGTCTCCAAATTGATACTGCGTATAGGAAGGAAGAAAACACCTTAAAGTACCTAAAACCTCTGGACAGCACTGCAGGCCTATGTTCTTGGGACAAAAAAATCAATATGCATTCATGTTGACTGATGCTGTAATATTGCCAGTTTTGGCAAACAACCAATGGCTGATGTTATTTTTATCCTTGTCCTTGACAGCTGGTAATTTCTCTGTCATTTTTTTAACTTTTATGCTCCTCTTCGAGCAATGTATCACTCAGTGGACAAATTAATGTACCATGACCATTTCCTATATTTCACCAGGCGTTTTTAAATCTGACATCAGCCTTTAAATGGCCTCATACAATCTAATTCAACACAAATCTTTCAGCACAGGTAGTCCGACAATTCCCTCTTGGCACCGGTTTGTCCTTTCACTCTGCCACTCAGTGTCTCCTCTCCTTTCAGTTTTGTTCCAAGCTAAAATGACGGTTCCCCAAACAGTTTGTGGATCACCTTGAATTACAGCAACAGTATAAAACAGGCAGAAACGTATCAGTGTCATATTGACTTTACCCTTCCAGTTAGACAAACACCATATGGCAAGGGCCTGTAATGTGAAATGCCTGCAGACTAAGCAATCTGAGCAGGGTGGGTTATTGTATGCAATGCAAAACCGGGAACAAACAATGTACCTACAGTTAATTTACAGTCTCATCAGTATGCTCTGGAAACATAAACTACACCAGTGAACAGACTGCCACAACAGTAAAGATAATTAACAATCCACTGCCACCTCATTAGTGCACCTACACTACCTCTCGTTATTTTAATATTTTGCTGCCAATGAGCCAGACTCTCTCATAATGTTTTTTAAATGGTCATGAGCAAAAATTCTCAAAGGTTTTTGACAGGATATTGGAATTTTTTCACAAATTTTCAATCCAGTTCTCATACCTGACCATTTTCAGAGGAATGATTTTTTGTCTGTTAAGCCTCTTGACACTGACCTGTGCATATTTCAAGCATTAAAAGGCACCTATCTCAGGTTTGTTATGCGCAGTCTGCCCATTTTATTAGTTCAATCTGTAAAATATACTAACACGGTTAGACATTCATAACATTGTATTTTTGTACCAACGAGGGGATTTCCAAAGAACTATCTCAGCATTGTGCGCAATGCTTCCTTAACAAATATGAGGAAACTGGAAGAGTGGAGGGCAAAAGAAAAAGTTCACGACTAAATAAAGCCTATCAACTGCAGATGAACAGTATCTGAAAGTCATGTCCTTAACAACTTTTTAAAAAGCCAGCAAAGACCTGTCATAGATTAACTGGGCTTTCAGTTAATCCACCTACTATTCACTGAATCCACATCAGAAATTAGTTCACAGGATATCAAGAAGCCATTATTAAGGAAGGAAATGGCGAGGAAACAACTGCAGTATGCCAAATTACACAAGAACTGGAAATCAATGAATCCAAATTTGAAATACTTGGCTCAAACTGTTCTAAGTCTTTCCCAAGGGGGTCAGGAGAGAGGTAGAACTTTAGGCAAACATTTAAGCCAATGGTGTTGGGGAACATTTCAAAACTGATGGATGTTGAAGGTAAAAAAAGCACCATCAGCGCCACTATGTTTTGCTTCACCTAGCCATGGTATTAATCCAACACCATCTGGAAAGCATCTGACTGGCAAGAGATTAATTTTTCAGCATCACAATGATCCCAAACACCATGCCAGTAACAGCATACCTGGATAGAAAAACACACAGTGGAACACTAAGTCATGGATTGGCCTCCCCAGAGCCTGAACCTCAACAATACTGAAGCAGTGTATGTTCATCTTCACAGAGAATGGAACAAAAGGCAGCCAACATCCAAATAAGAGCTCTGAATATGCGGACGTCATACCAAATATTTACTTTCAAGCTCTTAGAATTACTGTTTTTTGCCTTATATGCTGCATTTCCATTCTATTGCATATGTTTCAATAAATCGCTGCCCTTTTACTAGCAAAGTATAAATACATAATGCAGTCTAACTGTTATACTGACAGGGGTTTCTTTATTACTTTGTCCATTTATAGCAGTGCTAAGCTAGATTTTAAAAAGCACCTCAGACATTTGTAAATGAATGAGTCATTCTATAGATTACACTGAATTCGAGCGTAGTACTGTAACAGGATGTCACCACAACAACAAGCCAGTTTATAAAATTTCTTCCTCCTAGATCTTTAACTGAAAGTGGCATTAATGCAAAGTGGAAGCATTTAGGAACCACAGCAACTTAGCTACGAAGTTACAGAGCATGATCGCCACTGTCAATGTGCATAGTGTGTAAAAGTTGCCAACACTTTGCTGACTCAATAGCTGCAGAGTTCCAAACCTCCTGTGGCGTTAACATCAGCAGAAAAACTGTGCTGGGAGCTTTGTGGTATGGGTTTCCAAAGCCGAACAGCTCCAGAAGGTGTAATGTTAGGTAGTCCACTACTTCTCTATATGCTGCATATTTAGAAACTTAAAAAACTGCATGGGACATGATTGTAAAGTATTGGGGTTATCAAGCAATAGCTGTACACTGTGAGAACGACATTCAGCCAGACTTTCAAAAGAGCAACAAGCTAAAAACAAATTAAAAAGCTAAGTGGGCGAATGTAAAACTGGAAAACAGCAAAGGGGACATAGACCCCATGAATATCCATGAATATACAGCATGTGGCAGTAGAAGAGGCTATCAAAAAGAGTAGCAGCACTAACACTGCTGGAAACTGTCATTACTGTTTCTAGCTGTGCCGATTCCCTGGACAAAACGTATATCTTTGTCATACATAAATTTAAAGAATTCAAAGTGAACTGTTCTGCCTCTGGTGACGGTAAACTCAAACTTCTGTATGATCACAACAAATCACCAGACTGCACAGCCTAGCAGACCAGAAATATCTGTAAGGGTTTAGCATCAGTACATCTTGTTTAGTTATCATGTGAAAGTGCTTTGATGAAGTTTATAGTCCATGACCACATTTTGCCATGACAGACAAACACATGCAGATACACATAAAGGGAACAACACTGCATCACAAAAATAACCTTGCAGAAGACTGAGTGTCACAGCTGAGAAACACCTCTCTTTCAAAAGTCAGCAAATAGCAAAGGCCAGTAAAAGAAGCAGACGAAAAGAAATTGTATGTTTCTGTGCAGTGCGATTTTGCAGTCTGACCACAAAGCTAACCTAAATCCAATAAAAAAAAACCCAGTATCAATTTCTCAGGATATTTTGGGATGAAACTATTAAACCTTAATAAGATCTCAACACAATAGAAGCTCCCCACCAGCCTTTATATGACCAATCTCACTAGAGATTTAATTTAAAAAGAAACATTTCAATATGTGATGAAAAGAATATAAATCTTTCATTAGCCTCTCAAAGCAGCATGTGGCTTTTGGACTTTAATTACCTCTATTTGACTATATCTCTGCCACAACTGGAGGTTAATGAAAATTAATGAAAAACCAATTCACTGTGAAACCAGTCAGAGTGCAATGGTGGGTCTTGAAAAGAAATTGCTTTTCCCCCCCTCTGCTTCACATATCATCCAAAATGCACCGTGCTAGTTATCACCTGTTAGAAACGGAACAGCAAAGCAAACACACATGAAAGGAGAGAAATCAATAGCAGCGATCTAAAATATCAAATCTGATATCAGATCTTTTGTATACAGCCTGCTGCTCAGGCTCCTACTCACATTTCTCATCATCTGTCTGAATGACGGTGTTGGCACGCGTTCAAGTAGAATCTTTTGCATCAGTTGAAGAAAACTAATCTCTTTCACTAGGCAAGTACAGATGCCAAATCAAAACTAAGTGATCCACGGGACAAACACAGAGTGTTCTGTGCCTGAATCCACGAACTGC